TTAGTCTTCTATGTACTTCACAGGTGAGAATCTGTCAACCACTCCACTTATTCCCCTAAATAACTACTGAACTAAGAATGGAGTGATAGTACCACGGGAAGGTATTTGAATTGTACATAGCTGACCCAGACTCAATTCCCAGCACCCTATAGGGTTCCTTGAACTTGTGAGGACTGATCCCTGAGTGCAGAGCTGGGAGTAAGCCCTGAGCACTCTCAGGTTAGGTCCCCAAACAAATTAAAAAAAAAATTTTTTTAAACCAAGAAAACCCAAACTATTGTCCTGAGAAAATTCTTTTCAGCTTCCCTCCATAATTAAAACTCACTAAGATCGGCAAAAAAAAAAAAAAAAAAAACGAGTACGCGAGGAAAGGTGCTAGTTTTGTATGTGGTTAACTCTGGTTTGATCCTCAGCACCACATACGGTTCTCCAAGTACTTCAAGACTGGTCCCTGAGTGCGTTATGATCCCTGAGCACCATCAGGTGTGCCCCCCTCCCCTGAAAAAAGTAACTTAGATGCCAGCTGGCACAATCTGATCTCTAGAGATCTAATGGCCTGACCTAGGTAGAAAGTCAAAGCTGGGACTTCCAGGGCCTCTGCCCATGCCTGGGGGTTTCCTTCCGAGGCTTGATCCTCCACACAATGACAGGAAAGTCACAGTGCTCAACACTCCCCATCCCCAAGGGATCTACTCTGATAGGCTGCATGAACCTGGGAGCCTTTGCAGCAGCTTCTCAGGGCTGACGCTAATCGCACACACGCTCCAACGCACCCCCAGCCTCGGGCCTGTACCCGCAATGCAGTCGCTGGCTTTCTTCCCACTGTCTTTCCCTCTTCCCCTCCTCTCTCTCCTTTTCGAATCAAAAGGTAGATTCTTCCCCTTCCATGAAGCGGATCCACCTCCTCCTCTGCAGCTTTGCTCATGGCATTCCCAGAACAAAGACAGCCTTCTTCCTAGGAGAAATTACGGTGAATAACATTTCCTCCGCCTCATTACACAGACAAGTGTTGGCTCTTTTAAAAGCGGGGTCAGTTATAAACGGCAATCCAGGAGCTGCAAAACTCGCTCAGGATGGATCTGTCTATTGTCCCAGCTAATGCCCTTTGGAACCGGGTCACCAGATGGCTCAAGCTACTCAGGATCTTTCCACCTTCCGGGACCCCCCTCCTCGGGTCCTGCACTGCCCTCCCGCCCTCACAGGCAAGCAAGCCTGTCCAAATGTCCTCTAACTGGGCAGCTGCCACTGCACGTTCCCTCCCAGAAAACTGGCCAAGGGCCTTAGGAGAATATTTTCTAGACATGTGCAATGGTCACACACTGAGTCCAGCAGGGAAGCCTGGCTTTCCTGGAGCTCCCCAGTGCCTGGGTGAGGAATTCAGGCCAGAGTCCTACGAGGCCTCAAATCTCTCATGCTTCCCTGAAGGTGACTTTGCTAACACCTGCCCGGTCTAGGACAGTGAGGGTGTGACGTTCCACTCAAGACACTGCCAGAGATCCTAGGGCCTAGGGGATCTTCTGTGAGTGACAAGAGGCAGTGCTGGAATTGGTCCCCAACTGGGTGGTGCGAATCTTTCAAGGGGAGCTTACCAGGGGAGAGAATGTGAAGCATGAAAAATATTCCATCAGAGGCTGGAAAGAGATAGTTCAACAGGTGGGGCAATTGCCTTGCATGAGGCCAACCTGGATTCCACCCCAAGAAAGGAAGTGAGAAAGAGAGGGAGGGAGGAAAGAAGGGAAGAAAGGAAGGAAGGAAGGAAGGAAGGAAGGGAGGGAGGGAGGGAGGGAGGGAGGGAGGGAGGGAGAGAGAGAAGGAAGGAGAAAAGAAGAGGAGGGAGGGAGGGAGGGAGGGAGGAGGGAGGGAGGGAGGCAGACAGGCAGGAAGGAAGGAAGGAAGGAAGGAAGGAAGGAAGGAAGGAAGGAAGGAAGGAAAAAAGGAAGGAAGGAAGGAAGGAAGGAAGGAAGGAAGGAAGGAAGGAAGGAAGGAAGGGGCTAATCCCATCATTGCTGATGCATTGGTCATCATCTAGTTAGTAAGTTATTAAGTGGCTTTGACATTTAAGTTACTGATAGAGAAAACAGGCAAAAAATAGCTTAGTGCTAGTCAAGAATGTTGGGGCCTTTCAAAATCCAAACGTTGAACTAGAAAGATAAGGTACAAAAGGAGGATAAAAAACTAACACCCAAGAATAGCCAAAATAAGTACCAGGAGGTTCACTCCATGGCTTGGAGGCCAGCCGCACATGCTAGGGGCAAAGGCAGCTCAGATAGAGAAGGGAGCACAAAATAAAGGGTGTTGGGAGGATCCTCCCAGGATGGGAGAAGCATGCTGAAAGTAGACTATAGACCAAACATGATTGCCACTCAATTCCTCTTTTGCAAACCACAACACCCAATAGGAGAGAGAGAACAGAGGGGAATGCCCTGCCACAGAGGCGGGATGGGATGGGGGGTATGGGGGGGTGTGAGGGATACTGGGATCATTGGTGGTGGAGAATGGGCACTGGTGGAGGGATGGGTACTTGATCATTGTATAATTGAAACCCAAGTACAAAAATTTGTAAGTCTACAACTGTACCTCATGGTGTTTCACTAATATAAATTTAAAAAAAAAAGGAGGATGAAATGGTGAAATGGGAAGGAGAAATTAGTACAGCAGTTAGGGCACATGTCCAGCATGCACCCATCTGGGTTTAACTCCCAAAACCACATGGTCCCCCGAGCATCACTGGATGCAGCCCTGGAGGCCCCCAGCACTGGCAGGTGGTCTAGGTATCCCCAACACTGCAGGTCCCAAGCAGTACTGCATCCTCAGGCCCTTATGCCAAACAGAATAGCCGTAGGGTTCCATACCTCTGAACACCACTAAGGAAGCACCTTCCAAACACACACACACACACACACACACACACACACACACACACACACACGGGAAGAAGCAGTTTGGGAATAATAGCAGTAGATTAGACAGCTAGTAGAAGGCTGGTTACTCCCTGAACAGGCAAAGGCCATCCCTGTGTACCCCCAAAGTCCCTGCCTACTCGACATTCTGGGAAGCACTGAACTATCCCACCCCACCCCCCCCAGTCTTCCAGGGCTCCCTGCCCCCTAATATACCCAATGTCAACCATTAGAGCCTCCATCCTTTGAATTAAGCACTGGCCTCTGATGCCTCCTCCATCAAGCAGGGATTATTGATTGGTGTTTTATGTTGCAACTGTATCTAGTTTCACCAAATTGGGGAATGTTCCAGACAGACACAGGATCTGGGGTGAATATGCAGTTTCTCTAGATTGGCGCTCTTCCAAATTTTAAGTGCTTACACTGGTCACGCCAGTGACTCCAGACAGGGCCCAGAAGTAGAGCAAACTTGCCCTTAGGAAGCAGGAGATTTCACAAGGGCAGGTTAGACCAGCTGGGAAAACTTCGAGCCTACTGGCCTAGTTGAGAATCAGAAAAGAATCACATGCAGCGTAATCCCTACATTTCACCTCATGGGCCATTCCCCCAGCACAATAGGGATGATGCTAAGCCAGGCGCCCGCACCCCTTGTAGCTCTTTCCAGCAAGGCTCTCCCTCCCAGAGCTAACCTAGCAGGGGTCGAAGCAAGCCCATGCACAGAATAGTTGTGCAGAGAAGGAGTTTGTGAAGGCCCAGGATAACGCGCAGGTCTCCCACCAGCACAGTATGCTTGGGAGAGGGCCTGAAACTCAGGTTACCTGAACAGGAAGGCAGCCTGCCGAAGAATGAAGCTTACCTGGCTTCCTTTGCCCGCTCCACCCTTGGCCAATACCCCTTGCATGAGGCTCCACTTGTTTGTTTTGTGCTTGTAAAATGAAACTGAGTATCGACTTCATAGCGTGGTTTTGAGTTTGTCCCATGAGATAATGCGTGCAAAATGCTTACAATATGGCCTTGTTCACAGGAAAGATAGAAGAATATACAGTGCGCGCGCGCGCGTGTGTGTGTGTGTGTGTGCATGCGTGTGTTCTCACACACACATTTGTAATTACACAGACAAAGGCAATGAAGACATGGTTCTTGGGGTGATTGACACACACTTGACTACACATCGAAACTTGATGAGACCAGGTATCTGGTGAGGATGTGGAGCAACAAGAACATTGCCGGTGGGAATGGAAAATGCGGAGTCACTCTCGACAGCAACTTGTCCGTGTCCTGTGAGCGAAATGGTCACTTACCACACTCTTACCACACCTTTCAGGGGAACCAGCACTCCTGGTCCTGCTGTTTACTCAAGAGAAATGAAAGCATACCTCCACACAAAGAATGTTCATAGCACTTTTATTCATCATAGCCCCAAACTAGAAAGATCCCACGTGGTTACTGACAGGTGGAAAGATACACAAATTCCCAAACAAGCTTTCAGCGGCACACCATCCAGCAATAAGACGTGAAGCGCATGATCCATGAACATGACACATGAAATAGGAGGAATCCAAAAGCATTTCGCTCAAGTGAAAAGTCAGACACAAAGGGTTATAATGCACAGGACTCTGTTCACATGACATTCTGGAAACTGTCAAGAACAGGGACTGGGGACAGATGATGGGTGACCTGGAAGTGGCAGGGTTGGGGAGGGGGCCTGAGGGAACACTGTGGGGTCACGAGAAAGGTCTACATCTTCATTCCAGGAGTAGATGTATGACTGTGTCTGGCAGAACTCACAGAAGGGGATGGAGAAATGGTCAAGGACACCTGAGCCAGAGGAGGGAACTGGACGGGGAGGTGGAGAAAGTATGCTGTTCTGTCTCTTACACATCTGTGCCCATGACTTTCCTCACGGGAGAGCAATTCAAGTGCTTGATGACAGTTCTCAGAGTTTGAAACAGTAACAAACATGACACAGCCCTGCTGTGAGTTCCACATGAAATGAGACCATGCCTCAGTCAGAGCATCCACACAGATGACCATGGATCTTCTACAGGGACAAGGAGTAAGTCCAAGGGGCCTCCGCGGAGAGTGGCCGCCGTGACTCACCTCAGTGACAAAGAGAGTGCGCGGGTCGATGATATCCAGGAAGTGCCTGAAGCGGCCATAGAAGGACGTCTGGAGACAGGAGAGAGGAAAGGTCAGACACGGGGCCTCTAACACATGCCTTGCTTTACTCCTGGGGTCTCACAGTTGCCAGGATTCTCCATGTGGGGGAGGAACACCAATGAGATGTCACCACTCAGTGATCTGGGCAGCTTTCCTAGGTCTGAGCATTCCTTCCTTCCCTCCCTCCCTCCCTCCCTCCCTCCCTCCCTCCCTCCCCTCCCGTCCTCCCTCCTTCCTTCCTTCCTTCCTTCCTTCCTTCCTTCCTTCCTTCCCTCCCTCCCTCCCTCTTGTTTTCTTTCTTGATTTGTGGGGGTCACTCAGCTGAGTTCAGGACTTACTCTGGATATGTACTCATGGATCACTCCCAGCAGGACCATTTGCAGTGTTGGGGGAATCGATGGGGGGGGGGGGGGGTGAGGGGGAGGGGGGTTGTCTACATGCAAGGCAAGCCCCTACCTACAGTACTCTCTCTAACCCGGTGTGAGGATTTTCTGTGTCAACTAGGAAAAACCATTCAGACACTGGGTGACTCTCCCAAGTTCTTTTTTTTTTTTAATTTAATTTTTGTTAGTGAAACACCATGAGGTACAGTTGTAGACTTGCAAATTTTTGTGCTTGGGTTTCAATTATACGATGATCAAATACCCATCCCTCCACCAGTGCCCATTTTCCACCACCACGGGTCCCAGTATTCCTCCCACCCCCCTATCCCCCACCCCACCCTGCAGGGCATTCCCTTTTTTTCCTCTCTCTCCTTTTGGGTGTTTGTGGTTTGTAAAAGGGGCATTGAGTGGGAATCATGTTTGGTCTATAGTCTACTTTCAGCACGCTTCTCCCATCCTGGGAGGATCTTCCCAACACCCTTTATTTGGTGTCCCCTGCTCTACTGAGCTGCCTTTTCCCCTAGGGTGTGCGGCTGGCCTCCAAGCCATGGAGTAAACCTCCTGGCACCTATCTTGCCTATTCTTGGGTGTTAGTCTCCTATTTTGTTACTTTATGTTCCCCAGATGAATGCAATCTTTCTATTTCTGTCCCTCTCTTTCTGACTCATTTCACTTAACATGATACTTTCCGTGTAGTACCACTTGTCTGTAAATTTCATGACTTCATCTTGTCTAACAGCTACATAGTACTCCATCATGTAGATGTACCAAAGTTTCTTTAACCAGTCATCTGTTCTTGGGCACTCAGGTTTTTTCCAGATTCTGGCTATTGTAAAGTCTCCCAAGTTCTTTTGCGGGTACCTCCCACTTTGCCCTCTTCCAGATTGCCCCAAGGTCCACCCCTCCCCCCCTTTGGGCAGCAACAATCACTGCTGCCAAGGGTTGAAGCCTGGTCTCCAGCCCTCTCACAGCCTTCCCTGCCTTGCTTAGGGCCTCTAGCAAGAGACAGGGTCTGTCTCTAAAGGCCAATTCAGGCTCGGCCCCCAGGGATCACTCCTCACTGGCAAAGCTCAAGCCAGAAAAGCACCCAGTGGCCAGCCCTCAGGCCTCCTTCACCTCCAGCCCTGAAGCTGCTCTGAGGCTCAGGACCAGGGATCAGCTCCCCACCCCTACGCCTCCACCCATCCAGAGCATGGGTGGTGGGGAGGACTTGAAAAAAGAAGGCTTTGTCCTAAGCAGGCCATGGGCATTAGTGCACAGTGAAAGGAAACCGAGCAACACTGCCTGCTGCTGGGCCTTCTGCCCTGGGGACCACGCCAGCTTAGCAAAGCCAAGCTCAAGGGGAGGAGAGGCGGTGCCAAGCCAGGCACAAATGCAGCAAGAGCTGAGGGTTCATGCCTCACTACCCTCCAGGCTCAGCCCCAAACGCTCCCAAGAGCAACAAACAGTCAGTGGAGAAGCAGAAGTCTCCACACTCCCTCCCTCCCTCTCACCAGGGCACAGACCCCTCGGCCTACTCCAAGCCCTGCCCTGCCCTCCCCTCCCCTCTCCCACTTCTCTTACCTTCCTTCCCTTTCCCTTCCCCAAGCTGGGATAAACACCTTGCAAGAGGCCCTGGGTCACCTCCAAGTCCTCTGCACATACCAGACTTGCAACCCTGTGGCGCCCTCTGCAAGGAGCTGCCTCTCCGCCCCAACCCTGCCTTTCACACATCCCAATTTCTGTTTTAGCACTGTGACCCGTTAAACCAGGTATTTCTCTAATCTCTCATAATGCGAGTCACCTCAACCATTTCCCCTATGATACTCTCATCACTGTCCTGGCAAAATTTCACATCCAAAACTTAAATCTAGGAAAACCGTCCGAGAAGTTCAGAGGCACGGCCAAAGGTATTGATGGAAGATCTCCACTGTTTTATTATTATAAAAAGTGGATAAACAAATTCTTGTCCACTCATAGGACTGGATACCAAGCAACCATTTTATTTATTTATTTTTTTGAGAATATGGAGAAATTTTATTAACATAAAGTTAGTAATACATTTTAATTTTAATTTATAATTTTAGTAATTTGAGAAACTTAGGTAATCTAACTCATTCTTTTCTAGGTCAATCTAGCAAAATTTTTTTTTCCTTTATTATGTATCTTTACAAAACAGTAATAGATGTTGTTTTTGGACAGAACAGTATGTAGCTGTCTGGTACATATAGTTGGTCACATTGGTTTAATATTTTATTTCCTTATTAATCTTTTGTCCATTCTTTCAGTAACTTAGGTAATCTAACTCATTCTTTTCTAGGTCAATCTAGCAAAAGTTTTTTTTCCTTTATTATGTATCTTTACAAAACAGTAATAGATGTTGTTTTTGGACAGAACAGTATGTAGCTGTCTGGTACATATAGTTGGTCACATTGGTTTAATATTTTATTTCCTTATTAATCTTTTGTCCATTCTTTCAGTCCATTAGTGTGTGTGGTATTTTGAATTACAGAACTATCCATTTCTTCGTTCAAGTCCCTCTCCCTGCTTTATGAAATTTTAGGGTATTTTATGAGATGTTAAATGTACATAAGCATTACCTCTTCTTGCTAGATGAACTCTCTTTTTTCTTTTTCTTTTTTTGTGTCATACCCAGTGATGCCCAGGGGTTACTCCTGGCTCATGCACTCAGGAATTACTCCTGGCGGTGCTCGGAGGACCATATGGGATGCTGGGAATCGAACCCGGGTCAGCCACATGCAAGGCAAACGCCCTACCCACTGTGCTATTGCTCCAGCCCCAGCTAGATGAACTCTCACTAAAATAATATGATTCTTTGTCCTTTGTAAACTTTGTTATTATATATATATATATTATACATGTATACATACACATATATGTATATATACACTATGGAGTGATAGCACAGCAGGTAGGGCATTTGGCTTGCATGCGACTGACACGGTCGACCAGAGTTCGACTCCTCTACCCCTCTCCGAGAGCCCGGCAAGCTACCGAGAGTATCTCGCCCACACGGCAAAGCCTGGCAAGCCAACCGTGACGTGCCAAACACGTGTCACAATGGAAACATTACTGGGCTCACTTGAGCAAATCAATGAACAACGGTAGGACAGTGACAGGGACAGTGATACAGTGAGTTATTAGTCTATCCACCCAATCCCATTTGGGTGACTATTTGCACTGGGTTATTTTCTATCTTTTCACTTTTTTAAAAAAAAAATTTTATTAGTGAAACACCATGAGGTACTGTTGTAGACTTACAAATTTTTGACCGAGCAACCATTTTAAAAATGTCTCAGGAGCAAGGGATGAGACTCAGAGGTCCAGTTCAGATTCTCCCTTGCATGGGTAAGGCTCAATTCTAGGCACCACCCCCAAAGTAAAATAATAAAATGAAGTGTCAGGATATGTGCTTGGCAGGGGAAATCCTTATGACTGCATACATAAGGAAATGCATATAAAAGGAAAATTTCAACGTAATAGACTATGAAACAAATGGAGCTAATAAATGGCCAGCAGAGAGCTAGAATGGCAAACCGCTAGCCAGAATTCCATGGAGAAGTGGCTTTTCCAAGGCTAGGTAAACTTTGCTGCCCCAGAAAGTAATGATGTGCCCCCACCTCCCCAAAATGACTGGGACATGTTCAAAGGGCAAATGCAAGGTAGATGGACATCAGTGTGTGCCCACAGACGTGGCTCACAGTCTCAGGTGTGGAATATTCTGGAAGGGATGATATAAATCATTCTGAAACATCAGACAAATGCTGATGGAGGAGTAAGCCGTTAAAAAACTGATCTTGTTCACTGAATACATCAATGTCACAAAGACAAAGACAGACTAAGGAACTGCTCCACACAAAAAATACTCAACAATTAAATGAGTCTCTGATTCCAGATTCAATCTTGGACTGGAGGGAAATGGTCTCAGGGACATTACTGAGACAACTGACAAAATTTGGCCATAGATCGAAGCATGTATTACCCGCATGTGATCTGAAAAACGATTCCATCGTTGTTGTTATAGACTATTTGTGTTCCTCTCAAATTTATACTTAAAATCCTAACATCTGATGTATTTGAAGGCAGGGCCCTTGAGGTGGTTAGATATAACAGCAGAGGCCAAAGGCCAGGGAAATCTCAGAGGAACTCTCTCACCCCTTCCTCAGTGTGACAGTACAGCAAGAGTATGTCCATCTAGTAGCCAAGGCTCCAGGCTTTCACCACATTGAATCTGTCAACACCTTAATCGTGTACTCTCTGGCTTCCAGAACTGCAAGAAATTAATTTTCATGACTTATGAGCCACTCATCTATGGAATTATGTGTAGGTAACAGGGTGGCCAAAAAAAAAAAAAAAGAACTGAAAATGTAAGTACTATTAATTGCAGCCTGAATATGTTCTTCATGATACCATGTACATTTGCTATGATTCTGACCTTTATGATCACCTGCCAACAATGAGTAATAAAGGCAAGGTGATAAAATGTTATAAAACTGATCTAAAATTGGAGAAACCCAGCATTGTGTATGAGTAACAGTCTCTTTAAAAAAAATTAAGTGAAGTTCATGCCCAATTCAATCAGCTAATCAGTGGCTGAATAAATAGCAGTACTCCTACATTTAAAAA